AAGTGGGTTTGAGGATCCCACCTTGTCATAGGGTGAACAAACACATGCATGTGTACTCGAGGAGAATTGAAAGAAATAACATAAGAGGGTACATGTCAATTCGACAACCTTACCACGTCTCCTTGACAAGGGACGTTTTGTCACGACCCTGCTCCCGGACACTAAACCATATGAGTCAGTGGCGGTAAGGTGTGGGACTGTGATGTGAGGTGGAGAATGTCACTCCAATGGGAGTGGCTCAATCGCATGAAAACACATAATCTAGAGAAAACCATGAAAGTAAAACTAAAATCTACACATGAAGACATATATCTTTCCAAAAGAACAGCCATTTCCATTTCACTAGATATCCAAATATTCTTACAATTTCTTCAAGGCACTAATGGCCCAAAAATACAAAGTGTAAAGTAACCATCATAGTGGTAAGACCACCAAAAAAGTACTATAGAAAGCTTCAGAAGACGGATCTTCAGACTTCAAGCTTCAACCACCCTGGCACAACACAACCACTCGCCATCAGATCCGAGACTAACTCTTTCTCTCCATAGTCATGCAAATAATATGGAATGAGCTAACAGCCTAGTAAGCAAATCTACACCATTGCATCCCAACTATTATAATAGTGGTAACAATAAGCAGTGCACACTTATTCACATAATATCAAGGGGAAGCTCTCTAGAATGCCTTTTAGTATTCTAATAGTATAATAAGAAAAGCAGTTCAATACACAGAGTATAAGTCCTAAATTTTTAACTTTAGGCAGAACAGTAAGGTTAATAGATCATAGTTATAAAAACTAGAGAGTCCTACTCCTGAAGTAAAAGTTCCATTACTCAGGCTAAGCCAATCCTGTCACCGGAAACCTCTACCCTCATTTGAGAGGGTGGACAATAACAAGTGGGTGCCCCACTTTGTAATGCCCTCACACACACCGTATCATGTGCCCATCCATTGAGAGAGCATTACACTACCATTGGGTGACCCAATGCATAGTGCCGATAACAATTGGGGTGCGACCCACCCAATCTCTTAGTTTACTTCTCGACCCCAATCCTATCATTGCGGTCGAGGTACAGTCAATAGTTGCCGGCATCCAGTATCCAACTACCAATGGGTGACCCAATGTGTAGTGATTAGTCATAGTATATCACAATTTGTCAGTTACATAGTGTTTTCCCCAATAAAGCGGTGCCACTACTAATGGGTGCCCCATTGCGTAGTGGTCAGTCTCAATATGTCAGAGTATGGTAATCCCATAGTGTGTCACAAAATAACAGTCCCCCTATCAATGGGTGGACCTGTATCGAATTATCATGCTTCCACTTTCATAGTATTAATTGTAGTAGTATCACAGTAACAATAGCAGTATCACAGTAACAGTAATAGTAGTAGTATCACAGTAACAGTAGCAGTATCACAGTAACAGTAGCAGTATCACCATTAAGCATTACAGCTCAATTTCCTGTAATTATAGGCAATGATGTGCACTCACAATTAGAGTCATAAATTTTGCTCCATTCGAAATTTGAAGATGGTTCTCAAACTAATTTTATACTAGACGCATCCATCTTTCAAATGGGGGTGGTTTGAAGACAATCAAACAGAGGTTCAAGGAAATGAAGGTTTACTTGCTGTACCCTATTGTGTACATGGAACAACGACAAACCCAATTCCGTATCACTATAATTCTTAAATCGTGAAGTATTTTGAGACAATCTCAAAATAAAAGTAAAGGACAAGGCATGTATATTTCTAACAAGGCCAATTTGAAAACATTTGGACTCCATTTGGTTTTTCAATGGTTTGTGCCAAATAAGGTGCTAATTTGAAGTTTTATCAAAACTGTCCATAGGGACCTATCTTCATAAAATAAAACATAACTTTCAATCTAAGAAGAATTTCAAAATAATATCTACATGAAATTTTAGCCCACTCAATGAGCTTTCAAATGGCTGTGGTTTGACAGGAAATGGACCTTGCTTGGTTAGTTAAATTCAATGACCACAATAGTGTTAGTGGAAAATTCTGGAAAAGCAGTCCACAGTGACATATATGTACATTTTGAAGCATAACTTCATTTTTATAAAGAGTGTTAGTAGTGGGTAAGCACAAACATTTTACCAAACTCGTATATCTTTCCAATGGTGGTGATTTAAAGTCAATGGTACCTCGTATGGTTGTCCACAAGGCCTCTAAAAAAATGTGTGAAGTCTGGAAATTTCACAGTAATGCCATATATACCGCAAGAACATGTTTCATAACCTCAATTTCATAGTGAAGAACATGATAACAACTATTCTCTCACAATGTACACACATAAACATGCATTTTTTATAGAATTTACGAATCATACATTCATTCTCAGCATCCACATTCATCATAAAACATAAGCTCCAATTTTCAGTGAACAAGGCATAAGAATTAGCCACATCACATACACTTTCATTACTCATATCATAAGTATAAAATCCATGAGTTCTTATGACTATAATGCAATGGTGATGGATGCACTTACCTTAATAGCAAAAGTTCCCTCCCCAAACCTTCTTTCACAACCTTCTTTTTAGTCCAACAATGGTTGCCTCCCACAACAGCTTCTCCAAACTTGTGCCTTAGAGAGAGAAGAGATGAGGGAAGAATGACTGGCGTTGGTGAGAGGGAAGTCATAAGGACACATGAGGTTGGGGTCGCTGTCTAAGTGGCACCAAGCCTGGATAAGTTGCACCCAAAACAACATGCACGCAATAGGTGGCACTCACAAGTCATGCACATCAGAGACACAGTTAGCGATAAGCACATGGTGAGACATAGCCGGCATTACACAGCCACTGCTACATAGCCTCCACTAAGCACACAACGAGACACAGCCAACGCTACACAACCGTCACTGCACAGCCAATGCTAAGCACACGATGTGACACAGTTGGGTACTACACAACAGGCACTCATAACACACGGTGAGACACAGCTGACGCTACACAGCCGGTGCTGACTTTCTTCTCTTTCTTCATGGCTGGCGCTGCTCCTCATTCATAAATGTCGATGCCCCTCATTCGTGCGCGGTGTTGTACCGTAGTCACAGAAGGTGCTGCCTCTTTTTAATAGACTCCTACCACCATGCGTGATACTATGGTTGGGAAACTTTGGTCCTTACATCATCCCCCCTTAAAAAGATTTTGTTCTCAAAATCGTTAATTTAATTAATTGAATAAATGGGGGTATTCATCCTGGATCGCATCTTCTCCTTCCCACGTTGATTCATCTCTCAAATGATATTACCATAAAACTTAGACTAGGGGAATCTCTTTGTTGCGTAATACTTGAATTCTTTTGTCCAGTATCTCAATTGACTGTTCAATATAAGTCAAATCTTCCCTGATCAGGATCGGCTCATACTTTAGGACGTGGGATAGATCTGGCTGATACTTTCTCATTAGTGACCCAGGAAACACATCATGAATATTGGCCAACTCGGGCGGTAGGGCCAATCGATATGCCACGACTCCAATCCTTTCTAAAATCTCAAAGGGTCCAACAAATCATGGACTCAGTTTCTCGTTTTTGTCAAATCCCATTATGCCCTTAATTAGAGATACTTTCAGAAAGACTCGATCACCCACTTCAAATTCAAAGTCCCTTCTACGATTGTCGGCATAACTCTTCTATCGACTTTGAGCTGTTCGAATTCTTTTTCGACATAAAGAGATCTTCTCTGAGGTTATTTGAACAATCTCTGGCCTTAACAGTTTCCTCTCACCAACCTCATCTCAACATATAGGTGATCTGCACTTCCTCCCATATAATGCCTCAAAAGGTGCCATCTTGATACTGGCCTGGAAACTGTTGTTATATGCAAACTCTATCAAAGGCAGATGATCATCCCAGTTTCCTTTAAAATATGTGACACAGGTCCTCAGCATATCTTCTAAGGTCTGAATGGTTTTTCTGGCTGTCCCTCAATCTGAGGTTGGAAAGTTGTACTGAAAGTGAGTTTGGTCCCCATGGCCGACTGTAGACTGTTCCAAAACATTGAAGTAAATCTAGAGTCCCTGTCAGACACAATACTAACAGCCACCCTATGCAGTCTTACTATCTCCTTGATGTATAGTTGGGACAACTTGTCCAGGGTGTAGGTAGTGCGGATCGACAAGAAATGAGCGACTTTAGTATGTCGGTCCACAATGACCCAAATACTATCATGCCCCATACTTGATCTAGACAAGCCCGACACGAAGTCCATAGTTATGTGCTCCCACTTCCACTCTAGCACAGGTAAGGGCTATAATTATCCGACAGGTTTTTGATGTTCAGTCTTCACCTGCTGACACGTCAAACACCTATAAACAAACTGTGCAACTTTCCTCTTCATATTATTCCACCAAAAGACCCTTTTTAGATATTGATACATTTTTGTGCTCCCTGTGTGTACTATATAATGGGAGTGGTGTGCTTCTTCCAAGATAGCCCTTTTTACTTCGTCATTATTAGGGACACAAACTCGACCATTAAATCCTAACACTTCATCACTGCCCAAAGAAAAATCCTCCTTACCTTCCAATTTGATTTCCTCGAAAATTTTCATAAATTGAGGATCTTCCTTTTGTGCTACCTGGATTTGCTGAAAGAGATGGGGTTCTATTCTTATATATGAAATTATTCCTTCTGAATTTTCATGGGGCGAAGCTGGGTGCCATTCTATTGCATCTTCTGGTAGTTTCATCTCGGACCATCATGTGAGCCATTGACAACACATGCTTCCTACTTAAGGCATCTGCCACGACGTTTGTCTGACCCGGGTGGTAGTTGATGGTACAATCATAATCATTGAGAAAATGCATCCATCTTCTTTGCCTCATGTTCAAATATTTCTAAGAAAATAAGTACTTAAGGCTCTTATGGTCGATGAATCCTTTAAATTGGGTCCCTTACATATAATTCCTCGAAATTTTTAGGACAAACACCATAGCCACCAACTCCAAATCATGAGTGGGGTACTTTTGCTAATATGGTTTTAATTGCCTGAAGGCGTAGGCTATAACCTTTCCTCGTTGCATTAGTACACGCCCAAGCCCTTTGTGCGAGGCATCCGTGTAAACTATAAAATCTTCATTCCCCTTAGGCAAGGTCAATATCGGGGCTGTGGTCAGTCTTTTCTTCAGTTCTTGAAAACTTCTCTCACAGTTATCAAAGCATTCAAATTTGACTTCCTTCTTAATCTGGCGGGTCAGAGGAAGTGCTATCTTCGAGAACCCCTCCACAAAACGTCTATAATACCCTGCAAGTCCCAGGAAACTACGGACTTTGGATACATTCATTGGTCTTTCCAACTTAACCACAACCTCAATCTTACAAGGATCAACTGCAACCCCGTTTTTAGAAACAATATGCCCAAGGAAAGCCATGCTTGGGAGTCAGAATTCACTCGTACTCAGCTTGTCATATAACTTCTCAATTCTTAGGGCCTAGAGGATCGATCTTAAATGTCGTTCATGTTCTTCTTTATTCCTGGAATATACCAAAATATCATCTATAGAGACCACTACAAAGTTGTCCAAATAGGGTCTAAAAACTCTGTTCATCAAATCCATAAAGACGGTGAGGCGTTTGTTAACCCAAAAGGCATGACTAAGAACTCGTAGTAGCCATAACGAGTCTTGAATGCGGTCTTGGAGCTATCATCTTCCTTAACCCGCAACTGATGGTAACCTGACTGAAGGTCAATCTAAGAAAATAATCGGGCCCCTTGTAGTTGGTCAAATAGGTAATCAATTCTTGGCAATCGGTCCTTATTCTTTACTGTGACCTAATTCAACTGCCTATAGTCAATGCATAGTCTTAAGGTCCCATCTTTCTTCTTAATAAACAAAACTGGTGTGCCCCATGATGACACACTAGGTCGGATGAACCCCTTATCCAACAATTCTTGTAATTTCTCCTTCGATTCCTTTAACTCAATTGGGGCCATCCTATAAGGGGCTTTAGATATAGGAGTAGTACTAGGGGACAACTCTATTTCAAATTCAATCTCCCTAAATGGGGGAAGAGAAGTTAACTCTTCAAGGAAGACCTCTGGATATTCTCTCACCATCGGTATCTCTTCTAATTTGGACTGGACATTTCGGTTCTCTACTACATAAGCCTAGTATCCCACACATCTTTTGGCCTACAGGCAAGGAATCCAAAGGGGTGAGATGAGGTGTAAAGGAGAAACATCCTTGATGCCCATAAAATTCAGTTCGGGTTGGCCTAAGCATCTAAAGGTCGCAGTCTTATCAAAGCAGTTCACTGTAGCATAGTGAGTGGACAACCAGTCCATTCCCAAAATAATGTCAAAGTCTTGGATATCTAGGAGTACCAAGTCTATAGGCAACATATGCCCTTCAATCACAACTCCACACTATTTCTAACCTATATCAATTTCTATTGACTTTCCCAGAGGTGTACATACTACCAGAGTCCAGTCAAGTTGTGCAGGCTTAACTAGGTGACATGCAAAGTGTGGTGCAACAAATGAATGGGAAGATCCAGGATCAATTAAAACTCTTACTTCAAATCCACATACAGAAAGCGAACCTCAGATAAAAGAGGATGATGCCTTCGATTCTTGCTCTGTCAGGGCGACTACCTGCCCTAGAGCCCTTGGTCGGTCCTCTAGTCCTTTGACGGGACAGTCTTTCACAAGATGGTTTGGCTTGCCATATCGGAAGCTGGCCCTAATCTTCCTAAAGCACTCTGCTCTTATATGATTACCTTGACAACAATGAGGATAGACTGGGTTTCAGTTGATCCATACATCATTTGAAAAAGCCCCTGGAATATTGAAACAGCCCTAATTATTTCTCCCCTTTAACTCTTTCCTGGGAGGTGGTCGCGCTTTCTTCTTAAAACTTCCCGACTGTGCTACACCCAATATTCCTTCTCTTCTAGCTTGAAAGCTTTCACAATCTCTCTCTATCATTAGGGCCAGATCCACTAATTGGGAGAAGGTCTTGAGGTTTGCTGAAATAATCCTCCCCCTTATATCGGGCAGAAGGCCCTTTAAAACTTGCTAGCATTTTGCGCCTCAGAGTTAATAATATGTGGTGCATATCTGGAGAGTTCAGCAAATTTCGCTGCATATTGCTCTACCAAAATATTTTCTCTACGAACATCTTTTCGTGTTGCAGTTCTATAAATTCTACCTCTTTCCTTTCCCTTACGGAGTCGGGAAAATACTTCTCATAAAATACTTTGCTGAAAATCTTCCAAGTAGTTACAAATCCTAACCTTTCCTCGACTGCTTTACTAAGCTCCAAAACTTCTCCTTTGAGCATAAACGTACCTAGCCTAACCTTCTGCTCGTCTGAACAATTTAGAACTTCAAATATCTTTTCAATCTGTCTTCTCCATCTCTCAGCCTGCTCTACTCCCCCATGCCCCACAATGTTTGGAGTTGCCAGTCTCCTGAACCTTTCAATCAAACTGCTATCACTCTGATCAGAGGCTGGAGTAGATGGGGTCGCCATAAAGTCTCTCATTGTTTATGTCATAGCCCCCAAGGTTTTGAAGAATTCATCGAAGGCCTAGGTGTTGTCATTGCTTGAACTCACATTGTTAGCACGAGTCTTCGGTATCTTCAACGTAAAACACAAACATCCAGTTACTAACCAATCAAAGAACTATCCTGCAGACACTCCTAAGGCTTCCTAGGCCAAGAATCCTATCCTGGCTGCTCTGATACCATAAATTGTCACGACTCTAAGCCCAAACCCTAACCGTATGAGTCGGTAGTGGCAGGGTGTGGGACTGCGACATGAGGTGCCGAACGTCACTCAAGTGAGAGTGGCTCAATCGCATGAAAACACGAAATCAAGAGAGAACCATGAAAGTAAAACTAAAATCTACACATAAAGATAAATATCATTTCAAAAGAACAACCATTTCCATTTCACCGGCTATCAAAAATTTCTTACAATTTCTTAAAGGCACTAATCGCCCCAAAATACAAAGTGTAACATTACCATCACAGTGGTAAGACCACCAAAAACATATTATAGAAAGCATCAGAAGATAGCTCTTCAGACTTAAAGTTTCAACCACCTGAGCATAACACAGTTACCCGCCTTTAGATCCGAGACTAACACTTTCCCTCTACAGTCATGCACATAAGATGTAAGCTAACAGCCCAGTAAGTAGATCGACACCATTGCATCCCAACAATTACAACAGTGGTAACAGTAAGCATGCAAACTTATTCACAAAATACCAAGGGGAAGCCCTCTAGAATTCCTTTCAGTATTCTAATAGTATAATAAGAAAATAAGTTCAATACACAAAGTATAAGTCATAAGTTATTTCACTTTAGGCAAAATAGTAAGGTTAATAGATAACATTTATAGAAACTGGACAGGCCTACTCTTGAAGTAGAAGTTCCATTACTCAGGCTGAGCCAATCCTACCACCTGAAACCTCAACCCTCACTCAGGAGGGAAGACAATGACAAGTGGGTGCCCCACTTCATAATGCCCTCACACATACACACATCCCTAGCTCGTTTTGGGGTAATTGATAGGCAGAGGCCTTACAAGACATGATCTTCTCATGTGCCCTTTTAGCGAATGAATGTTACTCTACCATTGGGTGACCCAATGCATAGTGCCAATAACAATTGGGGGGTGCGACCCACCCAATCTCTCGGTTTACTTCCCGACCCCAATCCTATCATTGGGGTCGAGGTACAGTTGTCAGCTTTCAGTATCCAACTACCATGGGGTGACCCATTGCGTAGTGGTCAGTCAAAGTCTATCACAGTTTATCAGTTACATAATGTTTTCCTCAATAAAACGGTGTCAGTACCAATGGGTGCCACTTTGCGTAGTGGTCAGTCTCACTATATCACAGTATGGCAGTCCCACAGTTTGTCAGAGAATAAAAGTCCCCCTACCAATGGGTGGTCCATTGCGTAGTGGCCAGTATCGAATTATCATGCTTCTAGTGTCACAGTATTGGTTAAGTGCCTCGATCGTGCCCTCTGAATCTAGTGATCTGGTAGCACATGTCTCGAGTTTCCGGTGAATTCGAGATTTGAGATCGCTCTCTTAGAACCTTGCTCTAGGGCAAGGGTAGGTATACCAACCAATGAGAGAGGAATTTTAGGTGGGTGCAGGACTTACTCGGGCTGGCTCGTGTGGGCGCCTTCTTAGATCAAGTAGAAAGCCCCTTAGCTGCTTGAGCTGGTTAGGAATCACCACCCTTGATTTGTAATCCTCTTATTTTATCTATGGTTAATTTGTAAGACAAGTGGGTTGAAGGGACCCACCCTTGTCTTAGGGTAATGCATGTTCATATGAGAAGGTGATGGAGTGTAAGGTTTGGTGAAAGATAGAAAAGAGAAGAGAGCATGATGTGGGGGTGAGACTAGCATGACAACCAGAAATTACTGACTCAAAGTGGTAGTAAGACGGGCATGATTCTCGGGACTATCATGGCGGCAATACTACTCAGAACCGAGGTCGACGCGTCGGTGACAGGCTAAGTGTACACTCAATCCGGTGAGAAGAGAAAGTGGTGAAGAGGAAAGAACGAGATGACAAAGATAAGGGGAAGTCTAGAAGTCAATAGGCATCACAGTGGGCAATGCAAGGAGATGACACATCCCTTGTGGACAGCTTCAGCTCGTGAAGAGGCACACGACGATAACTTCTCCTAGGTTGAATGGCGATAGGTGCGGGATGCAAGAAGAACAGCGATAGGTGTCAGTCATGCGGAGGAAGCTCACGGACGGCGATAGGTGTTGCTAGAGCCTCTAGCAGGCGGTGATAGGTATCGACGTCTCCGTTAGAAGCGTAATAAAGGGTGACCCCTACAGGCGGCAACAAGCTTCACTGTCTGGGTTCTTCGTCGCGACGTCACAGCTACGTCTATGGGCGGTGATAGGAAGCGCTGTCTATAGACTTCACTAGAAGAAAGAGACTGACGAATAGAAGGGGAGGGGGGCTCGTGCATGGCACTACCATCGCCATACACAAAATGTGGGACCAAGGGAGAGGCATGCACAGCACATCCACTGTCGTGCACAGCCTCTGCATAAAACTTAGAGGAAGAAGTGGGAGAAGAGAGGGGGGAAGAGAGAGAAGAAGAAATGAAAAAGAAGAGAGAAAAGGTTTACCTCAACCCTGGGGGCACCAGTCAAAAAGTTTCTCTCACCTCACTCTCTCTCTCAAACATGAAACCACAATGGT